TAATCAGTGTCATTTGACTCCCGTGCTTTCCCTCAGGTCCATCAACATGGATAACAGAACGAAAGCCACACATCCAGGCTGTTGTATCTTCTAATGAGGTATAATTTCTGTGTTAAAAAATGTGAATTCTTACACGAATGATTAAAAGAGGAAGAGCTGTGAAAGCTTGGAATAAACAATAAGTGTGTGAATATGACCATTTGGTTTTCCAGGAGAATATTATTGCAGACTGAAAGCAACTTTATAAAGGTAGCCCACACTGTCGCTCCCCCTCTTCGTGGAGGAACGACACAGGACCCTGCGCTGTTCTTTCGTCTGCTCGGCCCTCCCCGGGTTTGCTGCTGGTTCTTCCCGGGTTGGCTACTATCCCTTCCACCTCCGTGGAAGGGCAGTTCCCCCTGGCCACATTCCCCACTTCCGCAGGGGAGCGGCACACCGCTGGCCGGCTCTCTCGGGGGCTGCACAGGTGTTCCCCTTAGATGTTCCTGGTGCATGCCGTCTCTCTCCTCCTTTATAGTCCTCTTCCACCAATCCCAACTCTGCTACCCACACGCCGAGTACGCTGCTCTCCTCCAATCAGGAGCAGGTCCTACAGTTTATTGGTTGAACTGGAGGCAGCTGCGTAGAAGCTGTTTTCTCCTCTCCCAGCGCCATATTGTGGGAGAGCAGATGCATAGAATAAGTCTTAATTCCAGTAACTCAGTCCAGTCCGGGTTGCTCCCCACACACACAGATGATTTATCCCGCTTTCATTCACCTATCAAGTACTGTACTTGAATTATGATGTGTACCAGGCCAACTTTACCTTCACAAGTGACAACCATGTCACCTAACAGCCTCAGAACAGTTTGATATGTTTCCCTCTTACCTGCGAGCTTCTTCCAACCCTTGGTGCCTCTTCTTAAAACCAGGTTCTCCTGTGCTAGGGGTCATTAAATTTTTCTAAAGTCAGAGCGTAAATATTTCAGGTTTTGCAGACCACATATATTCCACTGTTCCTCTTTCTGCTCTGCCTGCTCCCACTCCTTCCTCTTTTCTCTCTCCCCTCCTCCTCCTCTTCTTCCTTTTTACTTCTTCTCCCCTTTCTCTTTCCCTCCTTTTACCTCTTTTAAAACCCTTTCCAATTATAAAAAAAAATTCTTCACCTGATGGGGAAATGGCATCCAAAACAGGCCACAGGGCAGAGTTGACCCATAGGGATGCTCTATATACTGCCTCTTTCAGATCAAGGTATTTGGTGTCTATGGGGAAGAGAATAAGCCTGCTGGTGCCACCAACAGTCATCCGCAAGAGCTCCAGCCTGCCTGCTCCCTGCCCAGCCACTGTAAGCACTGGCAAGATGAGTATCCTCAGTATATCTTGCTTCCATCCCAGTGTACATATTCATTTGGAAGGGCTAGCTCCAGCACCGCTTCTCAGCCAGGCCCATGCCTCAGCATCACCTGGAGGGTTTGTTAGAATACAAGCGACTGAGCTCTATCCCCAGAGAGTCTAATTCCAAAGGTCTGTGATGGGGGCCCATGTGGAACTGATACCACTGGCCTGGGACACTCACTTTGAGAACCACTGGCCTATAGTTAAATCTTAAACCCCTTAGCATAATATTCTAAGTCCCTCCCAGTCTAACACTGGATTGCACTCAGTTTCTTCTCTGTCTGGGTCTTGCTGCTTCCTTTGCCATCTTTATCTGTCAGGATCCCTCCTTCCTGTAAAGATCTATGCATACGCCAGCTCTCCCACAAAGTTTCTTCTCACGCTGGTGAGAATGCTCACTTCCTCTTCTGTGGATGAGCCATCTTTCATTGCTCTGTGCAAAAAAATTGTAGCTCTTTTCATCATACGCTGGCTGTTGGATTTGCAGGTAAAGAAGCACTGAGACTCACACATAGCAGGTTTTTCATGAGTACTTGCTGAATACATCAATGACAGCAGGAAGGAAAGTTTTTCTTTTTTGTCCTCACTGGTACATGATTGAGTGAAGCTTTCTTAGATAATATCTCCTGTTAATTCCATCAAAACAAGACTCCATTTTCAAGCACTTTAGATCTGCAGAATCTCAGAAAGCCATTTGTCTTTTTTCTCAGTGTATACAAATGGGAAGTTCATTAATTCTTAATTTATTCTTAATAGCCTACTAAGAGCAAACCTGAACTCTGTGGGAGAAACATTAAGATCTTTCCATCTGTCTCTTGTCTCTGCCCTTAGGGAGATGGGTCAGCATTGCAGAGGTACATTAACTGTAGTGAATCCTATAGCCTTGATGACTAATAGTGGGAAACATACAGGATTTGAAGGAAGGATGATTTTAAATCTTAGTTATGACTGGCTGGTAACTAATAATCTTGACATTTTCTAATCTCTCACCATGAAGATATTGACAAAATGGCAAAATAATAAAAATATTTAAAGGGTCTAGGAAGTACCTGACACACTGTTGATTTTCAATGAACAGAAAGTAATATTATTTCTTATTTATCCAGGTGCTATTATTTCTTGTTGGATTTTATGTAGAAGACCTGAGGCAAGAGATGTCTTATTCAAGCATGGAATTTGGCCCTGAGTTCAATTTTGGACTTTGCTGTTTTCTCACTCTGTTGGCTTAGACAAGCTTCCATTTTCATATCTATAAAGTAAGATAGTAAGAAATCCCAACTTACAGGATTGGTGGAAGGATTAAAAGAAATGGTTCATGTAAGACACTGAGAATATTGTCTGACATTTAGAAAAACATGAAATGATATGAGCTACAAAAATAAGAACATTCCTAGAACTCCATCCTGTTCTTTAAAATTAGTTGACGTTTACAGCTTCAAGAGTATGCATGGCTTCAACTCGGTAGCAATATCCTCAAAGTCCACAGGATGGGGAGGTTGCTCCATGCAAAGAAGAGGCCTGACACTCCACAGCAGAGATCCTGTTACCACCAACTTCTGCATTTAGAACTTTGCTCGAGGAGGAGAAGGTAAAAATTAAGCATAAATGTATATACACAGATGATATAGAGATGGAGGTAGAAATTCATAATATGTGTAGATACATTGATTGTAAGTTGCTATACCATGCATTCTATTTTAAGGCAAAAAAAGAGATTTACTGCAAATGTTAAGGGAAAATTATCAACATAAAAATAAAATAATTTTATTTTTATTTGGGGGAGTGGCTTGTTAAATAAAACACATTATTGGACATGCAGAAGCAGTCATAGAAGCTTTTCAAAAAGAAAAACTACATACACACACACCCAGCACACTCCCAGATTTTACGAACTCTTCATTGGCAAAACAAAAACATTTTATTTGGAGAAAACCAAACAGAAGGACCTTTCATTATGCTCACCAAGCCTGATAAGTCAGATACAATCTAGAAGCCAACTGTGTCAACATTGGCGTCGTAATCTTCAAGCCCACAACAGAGCACAGGGCCACTAGATTTAGTCCAGATGCAATAGACACATTCTTAAGGAGACAACCTGGCAGCAGCAGTGGCAGGAGTCTCGCAACTTGTGTGGCCACAGGCAGGGAAGGGAAGGAGCAGGCGTTGGCTGTGCACCAGGCCTTTTCCTCCCCACTCTCACCTGGCCTCTCCTAACAGAAGAGAACATAGAAATAACTTTGGGAAGTATTTGTTTAATAAAGTTAGAATTCTCTGTGCTTATTTTAACTAGAGGCTAAATTTGTTCTCAGTCTTCCTTATTTTATTTTAGTGTAATTAAAATAATTACATATGTGTATATATACATTTTTATACAAATACATATGTGTGCATATTTACCTATACAAACACACATACATAAATACTACATACATACACACACATGAATACAAACACATTCATACATGTTCTTCCATAGAAAAATTTTTACTCCACATTACACAATGGAAGAAAACAATATTGATTTTGGCAACTATATTTTTCCTGGAAAATTGAATTATTTTATACAAGTAAAATTTTGATAGTTTATGAAATGCCAACTTTAATATATTCTACCCATACTACAAAACTTTAACATGTCATCTAGCTATATACCAGTTCCAATGATCTACTTCCTAATGTAAACTCCATTTCTATCAGAAATGAAAACATGTAGCTCAAGTTTAGTATATGTACAAGCCCAAGATTTAGTTGCATAATCCTTATCTTAATTATAATTGACCTTCATGTTGGTTTAATTTTTAGACTCCTGAGTGTTCCCAGGAGCAAATAAGGGATCAAAATAATGTTGAAAACACATGGCAAATATAACTAGTGACAAATTAAAAATGAGAAATCTATGTTCCGCTAGGGCAAAAGAAGGAAAAAGAGAGCAACATATGGTAATATAATCAAGTATGATTAGGGAAACACATTCGCAGAATTTATGCTGCAGGGGAAATGTAATGGGAAAGCTGCCTATCTGCTGCCATGCCTTGAAAAATGCACTCCTCTTTAAACAACAAAGAAGAAAAGGTTCCTCCGTAATGATTGAAGAGATGTTCAACCTTCTGTGAGCTATTTGTTTTTATAAAGTTCTCATGGTTTCATTGCTTTGATCTATATAAAGCCATGTTACACCTTTGCTACTTTTGAGAAAAATAGCATTTTAAGATCAACTAAACTCATTTCTCAGTGAGCCTGAGGAGTGCAACAGCTAAAATGTTCTCTTTGGTTCCTCATTAAGTAGCATGTAGTTTCTTTCCATGTCACAACATCTATAGTATATTCCACAATCACACATTTAGATCTAGGGGGAATTATGCTTGTTACATTATTTTACTTCTTTGGCAATACAAAGTCTTAGAGTACTGAGTGAAAATTATCATTTCTGAAATCCGGGAGAAAGACAGGGGAAGAAAAAGAACTTTTAAAGTCAATTATGAGATTGATCTAAGTTTCATTTTATAATTTATTAGAAACAATACTGTCTCTATACATATTCTCTCTATATACATATTCTATATATATATATATATATATATAAAGATAGTATACTGTATTATATAAAATACAAAGATTGATGCCTTGTTCGGTAAGAGAATGTTATACCTAAGTGTCATAAATACAGCAAATATCTTTAAGATATTAGAGATTATTTTTAAAATATAGATTTAAACAGAAAATATTTTAAAATAAACCAGAGAACTTCAAACTTGCTTCTCTTATTTGCCAAGGCCATCTTAGTTTGAAGTCAATAGCACAGAATTAAGCTAGGGGCTGTCCTTGTTGTACACCAGGTTAGGCCACTGCTTGGGACATCCGCATTCCATATGGGAGTGCTGGTTCAAGTCCCAGTTACTCTGTTTCCAATCCAACTTCCTGTTAATGCATTCTTGGAGGCAGCAGATAACAGCCCAAGTGAATGGGCAGCTGACTCTCAAGTTACAGACCTGGACAGAGGTCAGGGCTCCTGGCTTCAACCTGGTCCAGTCCTGGCAGCTATTTGAGGAGTGAACCACCAGTTGGAGGCTAGAAGAAGGTGTTCTCTTCTCTCTCTCATCTTTGTCTCTATCTCTGTCAATCTTTCTTTCAAGTAGGTGAAAATAGGTAAATAAACATTTGAGAAAAAAGAAGAAAAATCCAGGTTCATCTTCCTACCTCAGTCTTATTAAGAAGATTATTACCCTATAGTTATGTCTGAAAGTAGTAAGTTTACTTTTCAGTCTATCTATAAGACTAAGAAAGCACAAAAGCCAATGGCTCCTAAAGTGGTTGGGATTTTCTATACTAAAAATGATCACAACCTCTCAAACAGGTGATGAGCTAGTTTAAGGATTTGTTGGCTATTGCTTCATTTTGGGTCAGTTGTTTTCTTTGGACACTAGTTTCCTTATCTATAAAATGAGTCCTATCTGACAGAAATATTTAACATGATTATTAACTGAGAAACATAGTTCAAGCCATTTTATCAATTATAAAGAATTGAACAAATATTTGTTACCAGCCTCACATTGTACTAATAGCCTTTTCAGTTTTACAATCCAGATGTTTCAATCAGTACTTGGAAGGTAGACTATGAACACAGATTTTGCAGGACTAACTTGAATCAAGGACATTGGAATTTGAAAATGTAACAAAGAAATGAATTTCAAAAAGAAAATGTGTTTGAAAGCTTCCCTATTGTCAGAGCAGATTTAGAGTCTAAAATTAGAAAAACTAAAAATGAAATACTTAAAACTAATCCAGATTCAAGATCTCTCTTTTAAATTCAATTTCAGTTTTAATTAATACCAAACAGAAGAATTTGGCCAATGATATAATTAGAAAAAAATAATAAAATGAAGGGGTTATTTCTGAAAAATATGGCATTATTTATGTATAAACATCTAGTTGTTCAGAAGGCAAACTGGTAGGGAGTAAATCCATCACATTGGAGTTGGAGGTGGTAGTGGTAGTACTTGTTTTGTGTCTTTTTCCAAGCTCAAGTGAAAAGTCAGCTTCTGGTTGTTATCAACTTATTTTGCACCTGAAGGAGAGAAAGAAAATAAGTACTCCAGAACACAGTGGAAACATTCCAGAGAATTTAATACTACATTACATAAATCTCTATAAAGAGAAAAATCTGGTATGCAGCACTTAATAGTAACAAAGCTTGTCCACGAGGATACAGTAAATTATCTAATTAGTGATTTGTAGGAGGAAATTTTTACCAGAAGAATTTTGAAATCCTAAAAAAGTCCATTTTTGAAGAAGATATTTTGAAAGATAGAAAACAGTTGGTTACGGTGTTAATGCTGTTTCATACTTACAGATGTACGTACAAGTGTGTGTGTTTGTATAGTTCTAACTTAATTTTATTCTGTTGGTTGTCATACAAGGATACCCCTTTTTTCTTCTAATCCCATCTTCCCCTAATTACTGCTGCTTTCTTCCTGTTCCCATATCTTCTCTGCTCCTTTGTGGCTTCCTGAAATTCCTGAAAAGGAATTAGATGGAGAAACACAGATCTTAGAGTCTGAAGGGGCCTCACCATAACATCTTGTCATCTACATCATGCATTCCATTTTCCTAATCAGAAAACTGACTCCCCAAGAGATTAAAAGAATTACCCAAGGTCACACTCTACAATAAACAGAAGACACCACTCTTTGTCATATCCCCTTGTTTAATTTTCTTCCAAAAATTTTTCATCTTCGGAAATTCTCACTTAATTATTAATTTATGTGTATATTGGCAGCCTTCACACACTAGAATATACATCCTTTGATTTATCTTGTTAATAGCTGTATCTCCAGCACTTAAATAATGTCTTGTGTGGCATAGGCATTTATATATGTTCACTGAATAGTGAACTAGAATTTGGGTTTCTTGTTCATAAAGTAAAGCTTTAAAACCTATACCAAATGATCCTATGAAAACTGTATAGAATTAGAATATCTGACTGGTTTTATTCAGCTACAGATCTATCATAAACACTACTAATTTAATCATTTTAATTAGCAGTGATATCTTGTGAGTATTAATGTTTTCAACTCCTTGCCTAGACTTCTTTCAAATTCACTGGAGAAATGCAAAGTCCCTAGATTTTGTTCAGTTGAAAACCAGATACTGCTGTCCACTTAGCCAATATCCACAATGACTTTATGTGTCACAATGAGAACGCTAATTTACTTGGGATGTGACAAGGCATCCAGTTAAAGATAGTTATTTTCCAGAACTTCCTGTATCAAGGAGAGACACAATTCTGGCCTCTAAGCTGCTTTTTTCAAGGTTTCTGGGAAGGCTTTCTCTCTTAGCTATAGACCCACTTCCCATCCCTGCTTTTCTTCCTAGTCTTCTTTCTGCTTGGAAAAGATCAGATACCTGGAGCAACAGCTCTTGAGCTCAAATGGTTACAATTCTGAGACTGTCAAGGAAAATGAAAATTGCCTGTTGCTTGTTAGAGCTTTTTTTTTTTTTTTAATTTTTTGACATGCAGAGTGGACAGTGAGAGAGAGAGCCAGAAAGAAAGGTTTTCTTTTGCCGTTGGTTCACCCTCCAATGGCTGCCGCGCACCGCACTGATCCGATGGCAGGAGCCAGGTACTTATCCTGGTCTCCCATGGGGTGCAGGGCCCAAGCACTTGGGCCACCCTCCACTGCACTCCCTGGCCACAGCAGAGAGCTGGCCTGGAAGAGGGGCAACCGGGACAGAATCCGGCGCCCCGACCGGGACTAGAACCCGGTGTGCCGGTGCCGCAAGGCGGAGGATTAGCCTAGTGAGCCGCAGCGCCGGCCGCTTGTTAGAGCTTTGATAGAATGTTCCTGTCCTGAATATTTCATTGCCTATCATAATCCAACCTCCCCATGGTTGTCTGCAAATGTCTCTAATATATGCTGAGAAATGCTCTCCTACCTGGCACAGTTTTTAACTGAGTGTATATATTTCAGTAAAAAAAATCTTAGGCCGTGGTTTTCCCACCTGTTAAATAAAGACAGGGACCAGAATTCTGTTGCATTTTTCAGCTCAATCAATGCTGGCTTCTGTAGCTAGGATGGCCTCATCCCTTGAAAATACAGCCATGATAAAGTGCCCTACAAACCTTGTGAATTTATTTCACTAAAATTCAGGCATCTTCAGATTCCCCCAGCATTTTCCTAAACTCTTTCTCTGACATATAGTCTGTCAGAATGTTATGAAATCTAATAATTTAATTTCTTCAACAGACTTCACATTTCAACAATAGAGACGTTTTTATTACTTAATATACCTGGAGGAACTTTTAGGACTAGTTTTTGGAATCATAGACTTAGAAAATAAGTAACAGCATTTCTTCCCGCATAACCATTACTCAAGGAAAACAAATATTCAGAATTGCACACGGACATAAATATCTTTATGTAAATAGACAGGCTTTTCCTATTATTCATTTTGCATTAGTTTCCTTTTGCAGATGAAAAACATAAATACTTTCAAAATCAATGCAACATACATGGCTTATTTATTAATTCATAAATCCATGTTGCAGTTAAATGAACTATGTAATCCTTATACTTGAGTTGTTTGCTATGGAAATATCCAAAACCAGTGCCTCTACTCATTTAATTGTATATCATTTTGTGATTTTGGGTATCACTTCTACTATAGTTGTCTAATAGTTTTCTTTAAATGGACTCAAAGTATACTCATACTTTAAATTGCTTCATCCTAAGCAATAATAATCACAAAATCATGGGGTTGGGCATCCAGTTGTATGTTCTTATACATATTATAATAGTATATTTAACTATAAAAATAAAAATAATTTATTCCTGTCCAAACTAAAATCATCTTGTTTTTCACAATAGTAAACATTGGTAAATACTCAATTAAAAGTGAACTGTGAAAATTTACTTAAGAACAGAAATTAGCCTGACAATGTTGTTTTGTTATAGGTACTTCTATAATGGACATTTCTTGGAAGAAAAAGGGGTTACAAATTTATTGTCCAATAGAAAGAACTCTGGCCTAGATGCTTGCCTCACCTTGCCACACTATGCCTTTCTTGCATATACAAGGAGAAAATAGTAATCTATAACTTTGTCTTCTGACATAGCCTTTCTTATATTCAATACAAACACTTGAAGAGAATCCAAAAGTTTTGGTGGAACAGATGATGTTTGATCAAAGAAATGAAACCACTAAGGAGATGGTATTAAATATTTTTAAATATTTAAATGTCTAAGATATAGGAATGGAGTTATTCTGGAATCCTCAAAGGAGAAAAGAGTGGTTAAAGTGCAAGTACAGGAAAAAGGTAGGATTCAATATACAAGCAATTAAAGCTTTGGATACAAGATCAATCACTTGTCTGTGATATTGAAGAGCATCTCACATTAGATAAGGTTTAGAAATATGACCTTCAAAGTCCTGATACTAATTATAGTACACACCAATTATTGAAAGCACACTATGTTGGATTGAGCTTCTTATAGATTTTAACTCATTTAAGATTAACAGCAACCAATTAGTTTAGGTAGGATTGTACCCATTTTACAAATGAAGACATTAAGTTTAAAAGCAAGTAGACACTGAATTTAAATCCAAGTCAGAGGGACTTAAAGCCCTCATACTAATTATTATATTATGTGATATCATATATAAAAGTGGTCTCAGAAACACAAACTTTGGTTAGCTTTGTTTTGCTTTGGTCAGAAAGTTTCTTTGCCCATTCAGCCAAATGGAAGTCAACTGGTCCTCTTAAAAAACCTTTTTGTAGTTAACTATAATTGTGTGAAAAGGAAACTGAAATTCCACTATATCAGATAGTTTCCTTCAAATTTCTGAGAAATCCAACACATTTCTCAAGGAAAACTTTAGCTAATAACTGTAATCTCTTTGTCTTTTGAGAATGAAGAAGAGAAGAGAAGAAATCAATGTTTCCCAAGGAAAATTTATGTTTTTAATTTATTTTGATCTCTTTTTGCTTTTCAGAATAGAGAACAGAATAGAAGAATTCATAATTTATGTTAGATATGTCCCCAAATGCTCTTACAAATTAAACAAAAGCTTTTGTTTTGTTTTGATTTTGGCTAAAATTTGCTTAAAAAATTGTAAAAGTGTCTCTTCTAGAAAAGGGATAGGCAGTTGTATTTTTTTAGTACCCCACGGTGTCTCAAACACTCTCAAAGGGTGTTGAGATGTTCTCCAAACACAAATAATTCAAAATCACTTTAAACAAATAAGGCTATTAATCTTGTTTTAAGTAGAAAAAATGTAGGAAATCAAACAAAGTCATAGTAGGTGGTGTAGAAACTCCAGAAAGTTTTGGGAGAAACTTGTTTGCCAAAAAAGTCACATGGGGAAGGAGGAGAGCTGGTGAAGGAAAAGAGAAAGAGAGGAAGGGAGGAAGAGTGAAAGTAGAGAGGGATGACAGCAGGAAGAAACCAGAGCACTTATTCATCTTCATGCTGTTTCTTTTAGTGAGCTCTGTATTTATTTTCTTTGGGAAAATAAACAAAGCAAAATGATTGTTATTTCTACTATATTCTCTAACATTTTCACATAACTCCTTTAATACCTAAATTATAATACTCATATTTAAATTTAAAAGCAATCATTCGCCTCCTTTGGATCTTAGTATTAAATCCCACAGTGAATTTTACATCTGATTTTTTCCTTCCTTTATTAATTTCCCCCATTTTCTGACTTTTGAGAAATCTTTACATTTCTCTTTTATTCATGAAACATTTGAACCTCACTAGTATCAATGTAGGCTCCAATATGAATATTTTTCCACCCCCATTAAATCTTGCATTATAGATAATTTGTATTCAAATGTTATCAATGACTAAAATTGTTCAGAGTGTGAGAACTTTGACTTATCACAAGATCACAGTCAATGAATATAGTCTTGTAAAATCTTACTTTGTCTGAATGCTTTATCTTCTGTGCCAGTTCTGTGGGGAAGGGATTATCTTTCTTTATTTTTATAACTCCTAGCAGAGTACCTTCCTAGGGATAGCTTCATAAAAATAGTTGTTGAATTAATATATAAATGACTATACAATGGATTAATGGAATTTTTACTATAAAGAAGATTTATAAAATGATAATGACTTACTAAAATGAAGTAAATGATCCAGATTTCAAGTAACAGCTGAAAAGGGGGCAGAATAAATTTAGTATATTTTATTTTAGATTTAGTTTTTTTTCTTTCTTAACACTAAGGATTATATACATATATATTATAGGTTTAACAAATTAGGAAAATTATATAGTTCTTTAAATACCATTTAACAAGCTGTGTCAGGGGGAAGATGTTTGGTATGTAATATTGCCATTCTTTTAAAAAGATTAAGTATTTCTTTGAAAGACTGAGTGACAGAGAGAGACAGAGAGAGGGCAAGGGGAGAAGATATAGAGAAAGAGAATCTTCCATTGGCTGGTTCACTCCCCAAATTATAAGAACTGCCAGGCCTAGACCAGGCCAAAGCAAGGGGCCAAGATCTGCTCTCGTCTCCCACATGGATTGAGGACAGGAGCAATTATTTGAGCCATCTTATGCTCCATTCCCAGGCACATTATTAGCTGAAACTCAAATGTCACTCAGTTATGTGATGCTGGCATTGCAAGCAACAGCTTAACCTACAGCACAACAACGTTGGCACCTGTTGTGGTATTTTGACTCAATCTGACATTTCGTCATTTTTCTGCAACAAACACTCTTCAGTTCTGTATATGGAAAATATTTGATAAATGCAGATGTTAGCTTGAAAGCTTTGTTAGAGATTCCTCTTAAGTGAAACCCACACATGCTTATGTCTACATTTATTTAATATTTATTTTTTACTCTTGAAGTAATGCTATTTACATTTGAACTTAAATGCAAACCATATCAGTAAGATATCAGAGATTAAGCTCTGACAGAATTAAAGTTAGGATGGTCACGTGTTTGCAAATTTCTATATAGTTAAAAAGAAACATTTCTATAAAATAAATGCTGAATAGTAAGTGATGTGGAACACTCTGCACTTAGTTCTACAGTTCAGTCAAGGAGGGCTCCAGGAGATGGTTTACTACTGTCCGTGTGTGGAGTGCAGAGGTGGAGAATGCTGTTGAGGTCAAGCAGTGGAGATCCATGGTGTCAGAAAAGTAAACAGTTCAGTTATTCCCGGGAAGCCTTCTTGCTGTAGACAGGTAATTAATGGTCCCACTGTTCTTCTTTTTCATTTACACCTTCTTCTTCTTCAGGGAATGCTGATTCATTCTGACCTTTCAGATGTTTAACTCCTGAAATTATTAAAAAGAATGTGAAAAATTTCAGTGTAATTGAGTTCCAGCTTTGCAGCAAGACATAAAGGGAATAAACAGAAGGTTTTCATTGGGATATGGGTGCTTTTCTTCAAGATTCTCAACAATGTAATCCTATATAACCCTTTTAATATACTGAGCAATAAAAACACACCCAGTCAACTTTCCATTTGAGACAGGCTATCTTTCATAATTAAATCTCCTGCATTAAGGATTGCATCACAGCCTATTAAAAACCTATTAACTAATAATATGTTCACAGATGCTTATTATAATTCTGATGTATCATTTAGTTCAAATATTGCTTTTGGCACCCCTGAACTCTATTACAACGAGAATCATTGAAGCTCCTAGTAACAAAATAGTGTGTGTGCCATTTCTGGAACTTGTAAACAACAAAACAATCACAATATTGTTTGTCTTCTTTCAGAACTTGGTTTCAGAATTCAGTTATGAGAATTCTCTACTCAAAATCCTTCTACAACTTCCCCCCTAACCTACAGAGTGGAAAAAACATGAAAATTCCTTTGTCCTTATGAGGCTCTAATGATCTTGCCTCACCGCTACCTACTGAGCCCCATTTCTCACCAGCCCTTCCTGTTCCTGCCTTTAATAGAAATTCACACTTCAACAGCAATAACTTCTTCTTTCCCATTCCCTGGCCACCCCTGGCTCCTTCAGTCCTCCAGGCCTATCTCTTTCTGTTATTACTGCCAAACCTCTTCTTCCTCTTCACATACCAAGTCATCTCCCACTTATCTTCATTTCAGCTTGCTTCCTCTCTGAAGGACACGCCAATCCCCCTTGTACACTCAGCTGGCTCTTTGACATCTTCCCCCACTGCTTGTGGGTCACCTACTCCTGAACCAATTAACTTACACAACTTATTGTTTATATATCTTTCTTTTTAGAGTGAACTCCTTGTATGTCAGAAAACAGCTTCAGTTCAGAGCCAGAGGCACAATGCCTAGCAAACAGCAGGTGATCATAAATATGTATTGGCTAGATGATTGATTGAATTACCAATGAAGAGAAAGTTTGGTATAGAATTTAAAAAAAAAAGAATTTGGCAGTTTCTCAATAACCTATCTGGACTTTTTTTTGCAAACCATTCAAATTTAGAGTATAACTCTGGAGGCAACCACTACAACAGTCAACCTAAGAAATTATCTCTCATTTACTTTGGGATTATTCTGTTAAGACAGCAAACTAATTGAAACTCCATGCACACAGGTAATATGAAAAATTTGCTACTTTTTATATTTTGGAAAATCAATTCATAAGATTTTTATACATATTACTGAAAAACTCCAGTTATAATTGATAAATGAAAGGAAGCCACTGTTCATTTTTGCTCTGAAGCAGACAAGCAAAAAATATCTGGATATGCATGTACTGTAGTCAGCAAGCCTGAGAGTGCCTTTGGCAAAGAATGACATCCTTGGGCTTGGTGGATTATCTAGCAAAAATATTTGATCAGTTGTAATAATATTTAAATACTTTAACTTCATCTGCAAACACAGATCACTCACAATTCCTGTTGACTCAAGACTGTAGAGAGAAATTTGTTATAAAGGAATGGAACGGATTTCATATTATTATAAACTACATGAAAAGGAGATCTAAATGCTAAGGGAAAGGGAAGGGAGTTCACTGAACATCCAACTGGTTTCACTGCTAGAGTTTTACAGACCTCTAAACCTCACAACTACTCCATCAGATAAATACCTGGATGGCTAAATTTAGGCTAAAATAAGTGATTAGTTCATGATTATAGGAATAGTATGGTCCTGAGAGAAAATATTAAAGGGCATTTCATAGTTTCTCAATATATCAGTATATTGAATGGATGAATGAGTCATAATATTGCATTAGCAGGATATTGCAACTCATTTTCACCTTCAGCTTCTGAAGTGCTGACCCAGACTTTGCTATTATTCTGTAGGCTTCAACATATATTTAGATATACCAATTTACTTGGTTCAGAGGGTCCTGAGGTTCCCTCTGAAATATTAAAACACAATAACGATTCAGCCATCTGCCACTACTTTCCTCAGCTGAATTAGACTAACTCTACAGGTTTGCATATTTTCCATTTGACTTCACAGCTCATCCCTTTCATCCATAAGGTAAACAGAAAATAATTACTTTGTATTCAAGACAATTCTTTTAAAATGAGCGTTAATGACCTGATGCCAAGATTGGTTTATCTAAATGAGAGAGTCCAACATTAAAAATCAAGAATTAAAATGTCCAACTTATTAACTAACAACCTCCAAAACTTGAATATAGATCTGCTTGCTTAACCTAACGCATATTTAATTTATAATAATAATGATCACAAAGTTATATGAGAAAATTATGTTTATTTATTTATTTGAGAAGTAAAGCTACAAAGAGAGGGAGATACAGAGAGGTCTTCCATCCACTGGTTCACTCCCCAAGTGGCTGCAACAGTTGGAGCAGGGCCAATCAGAAGCCAGGAGCCAGGAGCTTCTTTTGGATCTCCCACACAGGTGCAGGAGCCCAAGCACTTGGGCCATCTTCCACTGCTGTCCCAGGCCATAGCAGAGAGCTGGATCAGAAGAAGAGCAGCCGTGATACCAAACTGTGCCCATATGGCATGCTGGTGCTGCAAGTGGAGGCGTAGCCTACTATGCCACAGCGCCAGTCCCCAAATTATGCCTTTTAAAAAGTAAAATAACTCACTGGGAGAAACCTTGGAAGGTTCCATTCTTAGCTTTATTTGTTTGTGATAATAGTTATTTCCACGCAAAATGTTTTGATAGAGCAGAAGCTGATGACATTGGATCACAGAGTTGTTCTTTAGAATATCTCCTACAAATTTTTTGATTCCCAGAGTAGTTTACACTAATGCCATATTTCAATTGGATAAAAATGGTTAATTTATGTGATTTTTAAAAAAGATTTATTCAGAATCAGAGAGAGAGAGAGAGATCTTTGACCCATTGGTTCACACCGTAAGTGGCAGAAACAATCAGGACTGAGCCAGGTAGAAGCCAGGAGCTAGGAGCCAGGAGTTTCATTCGGGTCTCCCACATGAGTGCAAGGGACCCAAGTACTTGGACCAACTTCTGCTGCTTTCTCCAGCCATTAGCCGGGAGCTGGATCAGAAATGGAGGAGCAGGACAAAAAACGGTGCCCATATATGTGATGCTGGTGTCACGGGCTATGGCTTCACTCACTATACCACAATGCAAGTCCCATTAATTTGTGTTTTGAAATAGTCTTCAGGACAAGCTTTCTCTTTGCCTTCCAGCAATATTCACTGGGGGTACAGATACATTAATGCTGCTATTAAAGTGTGAAGTCTGCTGAGGACTTCCTAAGAATTGTCTTTTCCCTACATCCCTTCCCAGTCTCAAACACACAAATGCTTGGGTTTCTTTCAGTTTTCTTTAAACCTTCATTTGATGTTTGAGTAATTCTGAAAGTAGAGGAAAATAGATTTATATGTGGATGTTGTTGAAATTCTCAAAGATTCCTCTGTCAAATGCTAAAGACATAGGCAAATGCTCCATCTGCACAGGGGCTATGGCTCAGCACAAGGCAAAGAGCCTCCTGGCGCGAGTACAGACTCAGTCAGGGCTGCATATAGGCAGAAGGCACAGAGATCCCAAGAAAACAGGGGTTGTTCTTTTCTCCATAGCAATATGAGCATACAGGAAGACATGCAGGCTCCCGTTATGTTGTATGAATGCATGAAGTGGTGATGAAAACAGCTGTAGGAAAAGAAAGTAGATTGAATAAAGGAAGAAAGGGAAAATAAATAAATGTTGTAACCAACAAGAACACAATATATCTGCTCTTCTCTGTTCTGTAGGTCAGGTGGTGAAATGTGGACTGGATTTAGTTGTAAAGCAGCCCAATAAAGAATTAGGAGTGGTGAACCTTTATGTAGAAGCTTGTATTCAGCTAAACACAGGTCAATATTTTTATGAATTAGTTTAGAACCTAACATGTCAGGTTTACTACATTTGTTAATGAGAAATTTGGGAAAGATGATACAGTGAATGGCAAAACTAGTATTCCAAAGGTTTCCAAGAGCTGGAATGTTTGCCTAAGCAGTTAAGATAGTGGTTATCAGAGATTTTGTTTTTAGAAAAGATATTTTAGTTCTAAAAAATATAGTATGAGGAACACCTTGACTGAACATAGCAAAGGTCTTAGGCTACTACAATTTCAATGTGAAATAGGTGTTATCTTTTACAAAGAAAACAGCTCTTGATGCTCTTGGTGGCATTCTCAAAGGCGGAGTGGACAGTTTTAGAAAGAGACTTGGTCTCTAACCAGGTCAGACTTTTGCCACAACATGCTGCTGGGTTCTGGGCTCTGCATTTCTAGAGGACCATTGAAAAGGATGATTGGGACCGCGGCTCACTAGGCTAATCCTCTCCCTGTGGCGCTGGCACACCGGGTTCTAGTCCTGGTCGGGGCGCCGGATTCTGTCCCAGTTGTTCCTCTTCCAGTCCAGCTCTCTGCTGTGGCCCGGGAGTTCAGTGGAGGATGGCCCAGGTGCTTGGGCCCTGCACCCGCATGGGAGACGAGGAAAAGCACCTGGCTCCTGGCTTTGGATCAGCGCAGTGCACCACCTCCACCCCCCCACCCACAGCGTCCTGCCCCCAGCAGCCACGGGGGGGGGGGGGGGGTGAACCAACGAAAAATGAAGACCTTTCTCTCTGTCTCTCTCTCACTGCCCACTCTGCCTGTCAAAAAATAAAATAAAATCAAGTTAAAAAAATAAGAAAAGGATGATTGGGATGGAAAGAAATCTAATGAAAATGATTTTTTAGAGGAATTGTAGATGAAACTGAAACATTTAATATGGAGAAAATAATATAGGCTTTCTTTGAACAATTAAAATTCTATTAAAACAAATAAAATTAATCCATGTAGATTCTGAGAGCAAAAATAAGGTAAAAAGCTGACACTTATGTGCATATAAGGGCAGGGGACAG